TTGAAATTATACATTTGGCAAAAAAAATTAGAAAAAAGCATTTATCGATGTTAAAAATAAAAGAAGATAACAAAACCTAAGAGCTGAACAGAAGATTTAAATGGAAAATTATCCCAAAAATTACTGAAATCAGCTCGTTATTTAGTCACCGCCTGTCTCAAAAATTGATTACAAACCAAAAGGTGGAATAAATAAACTTTTTAATGCATTTCTGATAAACTATGTTGTCTTTTCTCATATTCTTTAAGGTACGAAAGATACTAGATGTCTAAGCTAACAAGTTGTTGATTAATTACTTCGGGAAAGATGGTTAAATGTATATATATATTAATCGCTATTCATCGTGAAACGCTTTTTTTCCCACAAAAACGCCTAGACAATCTTATATACAGTATAGAAAATAGCCGTAGCTACAATTTTGGTGAAGTGTGATTACACAAATTATTAATTTTTCCTATTCATTTCTAAAATGTTGTTATACCAACTTTTTCCTACCCTACTTTTAATCATATTTCATATTAGTGCGATTTTCTTCTTTCTGATACCAGTTGTTACGTTATTTTCTTCCTTCACGTTCGTACGGAGTTTGTATGGATTTGGAGTGAATAATGACACTACTTGATGAAGTATCGAAAACCACTTTATTAGCCAGTATTGTCAGGACAGCTACAAAACACGTTTTACAGTCGTCGATGAACTACTATAAACACGCTGACACGATCAGCGACATAGCCTTCAGGTTATCAGGCTGTCACGGGGGAGACAGCTTCACGGCAAAGCACTAGAGTACAGCTCTCGACTCTGCTTGGTCGTTCTCAAACTCCCACGCTACAACTCGTGATGCACTCGACGACACACAGAGCACAACTCCCGACTCTTCGGTTCAGTCGTTCCCGGAGCTCAGCACGTTCTCTCGACAATGCACCAACCGCGATACACTACGACACTCTTTCGGTGCACTTGACGACCCACTCGGCACTCGCTGCCCGGCTGTCAACTCGATCGACTCCGCAGGGATTGACTCGCTAGACGAGACACACTCGATACTGACTATCTCGCACTCTATACGAGGCATGCACACTCGCCCTCTCGACGAAGCAAGCTCTCGATACTACCTGACTGCCGACCAGCAGGGTTTATATAGCTTTCGGCTTGTGTTTGAGAACATTCTGGGCTAAACCGGTAAGAATTCGTTCCAGAAGGTTCTCCCACCATCCATGGTATATCGCCAATTTTGTCACCAAATGGGCGATTTCTCGCCAAATGTGGCAAACCTGCCGTCTTTTGCCACTGTATGGCAACCCTAAAACTGTTTTGCGGGGAAGCCATCTTACTGCGCCTGTACATTTCGTAACAATATATTCTTATTAGCATCAGAGATGCTACTAGGTTTGAAACTCCTTTTTTGTCTGTATCATTTTTGTGTCCGAATTACCTTTCAAATTGTTACCGCCAAATGCTATCGCGATGTATTATTAAAAAAAAATCAACAATGAAGAATCTGTATGTTCCTCGCATTATGGAAAAACGACGGCATCTAGATCCACCAAATTTTGAACACGCATAGCCCTCCACCCGAACATGTGCTCCTCAAAGCCCAAATTTTGAATTTCGAATTAATTTCTTATTTATTTCATATTGTATACAAATTTAGTGAACCTTTAATTGAAAAAGCAATTTGTAAAGTAGAAATGGCAGCACTGTTTGAAATAAAACATATTTGTCTCCAGCGCAACAGACTGTTACCATTCAAAAAATGAAAGATATTTTACCTTTTAGTTTTAATGAACAAACTCAAATATTTAAAAGCAGTGTGTTGCGGTGCCGGAAATAAAATACTTTTATTTTCCACGCCCTAGCGTGTTGCCATTCAGTAAAGCCTAATATATTTCACTTACAGATTTATTCCGGTGGGTTATCGAGTAACAGACTAAAGTAGTTAAAAGCGATAAACACGGTTCTTAAAAATTGTTAAGAATATTTTTTCTGCTCTTTAATATCATTGATTTAAATATAATGCTAAATATCCTGAGATATCTAATCAGAAATGCGAAATATTTTTATGAAATTACCCTAGCTGCATTTATTAAAATCACTATATATTATTTCTTTTTATATAACTATGTTATGTGGATGGCCGTGCGAGCGGTTAGCTAGTTTTTTAAGAAATAGTTAAGCGAACATAGAACAATGCATGTCAGTTCCTAACACTCTATCAGGAATTCTAATTATTTGCTTTTTTTAAATATTTTGTGATTTTGCTGTTGAATTTTATGTGGCATAGTGCGAAGAACGTGATATTTAAATAGCCGTAGCACACAAAAGTTAAGCACACAAAAATTTAATAATAAAAGAACAAAAAAAAATCGTAAATCATCTTAGTAAGAAAACTAATTATTGATATGAGAAAAGACTGGAAAAACAAAAAAGAAAAATTTATACTAGCATTCAACACTGCATCCGGAATTCTAAAAGTATGCTGTTTCTACTGCTTTTAAAAAATTTGTAATTTTGCTGCTCACTTGTATATGACTTATATGCAAGGAAAGCGATGATTAATAATAAAACTATGATAAAATAAATATCTTGCTCGAGTTCCATGTTTTTAGCTGCAAAATCATTCAAGTTACATGACTTTTTTTACAGTTGTTCCTTTAATTTATTCCTCCAGTGTGTTTTCAAAAATTGTTCTAATAAACGAATAGCATTTGCCACACACGCATCCCAAACGACGATAGATCTCGTTTAGGAACAGAGATTCACCCTTCTGAAGTCCTTGTTGACAGAATACCCGTCTGTATTTTAGAAGTATGTGACGTACAGGACATCTTCCAAAGTGTATACCAATCACTTCATTTTTGTCGTGATGCATGTGTTGACTTTCATTCAACAATTCTTGTAAATATCAAAAATTGTATTATTACTGGTGAATATCCGTGGTTGAAACGATTTTTCTTTTGCCATGTTATTGTTCCCACGTTCATATTTCACCCCACAAATAGTTACTTTTGCCATGTTCTCTCACCCCTTAATGTTGTGACCATCAGTTTTGTAACTTCTGTTTATATATGTATATTTCCTTAAAAGTTAATTGTCTTCTTTTTTAAAAAAAATAAGGGTCTTTGATGCTAACTGAAGGTTATGAGGATCTTAACTTTTTTTTTTTTTTTTTTTTTTTTTACATTATGGAAAAGCACGCAAAGGCTACCTGCCTAAAGGAAAGGGTAACTTCATGAAAGGGTTTCTAAAGAAAACAAATTTGTGTTTGCATTACACATGGAAAAAACCCAGAAAACTCTCATTCAGCCAGTTCATTTGCCAAGGTTTCAACACCCGGGTCTAACTGCTAGTGTTCATCGTTTTTAGCCGCTTGGTTGCTGGTGGCTATAAAACAAGCGATCAAGTCTAGGACTTGAGAGCAAGAAGACCATTATCTAAAATGATCGAATTTGAGATACATGCGTTACTAACTCCAAAATTAGGAATTTCGTGACGAAAGAAAAATCTCAATATTCTTCCATGGCTACGGTTTAAATCAGGACCAATTTCTATACAATACAACAATCTTGTATAGATAAGACCATTAAAATAAAAGTTAAAATAACTATATGTTTTTAAGAATAAGAAAAGAATTGGAGAAATATTTAGTTGAAGTCTGCATGCATTGTGTAATAATTAACGTGAATAAAAACGTCTCATAATTAAGACAGCTTTTCTTTAATATTTGCAAAATGGGCATTGCTCCTTTTCCTATCAAACTGCAGAAATATCATTGCGGCTTTTTTGTCCCATTGCAGAGGAAGGCTTTCTCTCGAAGATACTGGATGCCAAAGGTTTATCTGCGAAATTTCTGTTCATTTTCAAAAGTGAACTACAAAAGTAGAAATTCCAGCTTAGAACCGTTTTGCAGAGAAACTTTTTAATTTCATAGCCAAATTATTCTTCCAAGAAAAATGAATGCATAGGCAAAAATCCATTGTACGAAAAGAAACCAACACAAAAATCTAGAGAAAGTTTAGAATTAATTCAGTAGTCCTTTTTCCCCATCAGTAACGACTATATGAGCTTGTCTGGATATATATATATTTTTTTTTGATTTTACAATCGATGATTTGCTATTCTCGTGTACAATAAAACATTGTAGTGACCGACACTGAAGAGATTTGAAAGTAAAATTGCAGTGTTTATTTGTTTAATTGAATAAAACACACAAGAGGGCTATCTACGTGAAATGAAGGAAGTCTGCACGAAAGACTACGGGAAAACTGCCTCATATTTATGTTGCACACATGGGAAAATCTTCGAAAATATCCATGCGATGAGCAAATTCACAAGGATTCGAATACAAATCGACCTACCACGTTTGATCATTTGGATCAAGGCAAAGCTCTCGGGGGAGGGGGCTTTGTGCTCATATACATTTGCAGAGGACTTTCTAAAGGAAATGGCCCATAATCACGTTACACAGCAGAAAAAACACTGAAACTCTTATGCAACCGGCCCATCTGTTTGGATATAAAACTGAGTGTACAGTGGATTTGACTGGATTATTTAATGATGGTAAATCCTAGTAGAGTTACCAAGAGGCATGCGTTCATGGAGAATGTTTTAAGGAACACTTGCCCTTAATAACCTTATACATGAGGAAAATCGCTGAACCACTGTGCAGCCAAACTTGAATAGAATTGTCAGTGAGTGTTCAGCAGTGTTATGCACTTGGCTACTGGAGGGTTCACTTTATTAATGAAAGAACTAGTTTATATAGTAGGTTGCAACGCATTACAAAATTTGGCCCATCGATCAGAAGTTAGGAGAATCATTTAAAGATGCATATAATCTAACTTCTTTAATTTAACAAAAAAAAAGTTTGGGAAGCACAATATGTATTTAAGTCTTTTTATTAACTGTACGTGTGACGTCACAAATTTCATTAAAAATTTAAAGTTCATTAAACGTTGACCCTTTTTTACATCCTTTATTTTATAACATTTTCTTTTTAGCATGGCCGCAGGTTGGATATGCTGACAATTGAAGTTCAGAAAGAGATAGCTAAGGAAGCTAGTGATACTGTACAAAATGATCCATTGAGAAAGAAAACCAAACGGAGGAGAAAAACCATCGTTATTGGAGCTAGAATACATCCCGGAGAAACTCCTTCATCATATGTTTGCCAAGGTAATGTTATTTAAAAATTAAAATTACATAGACTTTTAAAGTTTGTAATGTCACAATAAGGAAAGAAAAGTATAGCAAATTTTGTTAAATGGTAACTTGAAGAATACTTCAAAAATAAAAGAATAATATACTGATTATTGAATTGTGAACACTATAAAATGTTTATTTATTTTGTCTTATAAAGAAAATTGTTACATCTTTAAAATTAATAGGCATTTCTAAATAAAGTCAATGCATCACCAAACTACCATAAACAAAAGACTTACCTGGCTTTTATTTAGCTTTAATTAACATAACACGATTAAGATCAAACATTACAATTAAGGGCATTATAATTACACATTTAAGTTACAAATTAAATCTCGGGGAACAGCATGCTTAGTCCATGACTACAGTACATCGACTAAAGGCTTTAAGGCCCGTCCACACGAGGACGCTCCCGACGTAGTTGACGTAACATTTTGAAGCCGACGTAAATTCGCGTGACCCAGAAGACGTAAAACTGAGTACGCTCCTGTTCAGCTTCTTCGCCCGCCACGCGCGCATATAGCCAATAGCCGACCGAGTTTTTATCACGTGTCATAATCAGAAAACCTTCTTGCTTACCCGTTTCAATATGGCGTCAGAACCACACAGAGATGAGTTTTTGCTTAGAAATATTATCAGGTTCAATGTTCCGCCTTACTTTCTTTGGGAACATGCAAAGACCTGACTCGGAACAGGGAGCTTACTAAAGCTATGTCCAATAAATGTGGGAAGTAGACAAGATACCCAGGAAGGGTATACAAAACCCTTTATTTTTCACTCTTTACAATAATTTCCGTACTTCGGAATACAGAGACAAACTACTTGTGGTCTGAACGTAAGAATATAAAAATATTAACTAAACTCTAACTTAACTTTGGAATAATAAACAAGGGCCTACGTGGAAGATTGGCCGTATATTAACAGGAAGCCGTATGTAGTACAGAGAACTGTTAACACTACAATACGTTTAAAATTATTAAGAGGATTAAACCTCTGGCCTGGAAGGCAACCAGCAACCCAGTAAAAACTGCTAAGGCAAGCGGCCTTCTTCGACTAACTCTTTCCTCTCTCGCTTGGCAAAAAGCCACAACTTAAGTACTTGGCGTTCGCCAGACAAATTTGCATAAATAAGTTAAAGCTTTTAATTCTGGCCGGAAGTAGAAAATAAGAAGTGATAGTAAAGATTTAAAATAAAAATAAACGTTAATAAAACTTAAGATCCTTACATACTTCCCGCCAGAGTTAATTAGTTTGAAACTGAGGTCTAAAACGACCTTGTTGAAAACTTTTAGCTCTAGAATCTAACGCGAGGCCAATCTTTTATAAACATTTCTCACTAGAAACTAGAAATTTAAAAAAAAATTGTTTTTACATTATCAGCTCTATGGACAACCATTTATCATCTGTACTGTATGGTGAATACATACATTAGTAGTACATTGTTAACTTCTATTCTTTTCCAAGCAAGTGCCAATTCTTCTACATTGAAATGCTACATTTCAAAAGTCTTTCCCACTAAAACTTCTTTCTTGCCAGAATGTTTTAAATAAAATTTATACAATAACTTTTACAATATTCAAGTATTTACACATTCCTATTATACATCAACTTTAGTTTTACTCGCGAGTAATTGAAAAACATAATGCCAAAATAGGTAACAACTCATTTCTCGCCTTTTTGGTGATAAAGGTAGACCTCACATGAGGTAAAACGTCTTGAAATCTGCCACTTGCAGTAAGAATGAAAGATTAACTTAAGTTTGCAAAGTAACATAAAATTTTACTTATCTTTGTGATATTCGGACATTCTTTTCTGAGCCCAGTCTGGGAAGGTAGCGCAGATTTTCGTTTGATTTATCCTCCTTCTTGTGCGGTCTCGCCCTTCAGTGCCTTCCTCTAGAAGCTTTCTTTTTTTTTTCAGTTCGGTCAGCCTTGAATACCTTCTTTTTCGCCTCTGCCTGTGGTCCTGGCCGTTTGATGGCCGCTGGTCTTGGCGGAACCGGGACACTTCTCTCTCGTTCCTGCTTGGACCTCGTTGCTGGCCGTTCAAATTTTCCTTGTATCTTTTCCTCCGCCGCTGGTGGCCCTTCCGCAGTTCGGCGATATTTGCTGCGGAGAGTCCTGTCCGATGAGTAGATCTTCCGTTTGGGAGCCGGGTTATAGTTGCCGTTATTTCCCCTGGCTCTCTTTGCATTCGTCGTACTTCTTCCTTCTTCATTCTGGGGGTGGTCGTGCGCTCTCTTTTCTGGTCGGTGGAACGGCTTCTTTTTCTTGTTACCTTCAATTTTCCAACGGGGAAACTTTCTTTTCAATTGCTCCTGCCTCCTAATGGCTTGTCCTTGTGCTTGACGTTGTTCCACCTCTGGAGCTTGTGCCTGCCGTGCCGGATCCTGCAAAAGATCTGTAAATATTTGCATTTTATTACGGTCATAATATGGTTTTATTTGGTCAATGTTTGCGGAGCATGTTTCACCATTCCTGGCTTTTAACACCACTACAGCGTGAGTTATTTTTTCTATGACATATGGTCCTTCAAATCGTGGAAAAAATTTGGCGGTTTTATCTTCTGGTGCTGAAGAAAGTGAATGCTTAATTTTTAAAACTTCATCTCCTACTTTATAAGTTACTCCCCGTCGTTTCAAATCATAATAGAGCTTCTGTTTTCTTTGTGCTACTTCAGTGTTCTTTTTTGCTTCTTTAATTAATTTTTCTATATCACCCATTTTAAATTCTGAGGCTCTTTGTTGAACATAAAATAATTTATCTAACGGCGTTATAATCTTTATCCTAAAAATAACTCAGCAGGAGTTTTGCCCGTTGTATCATGTTTTGCGGTTCTAAGGGCGAAAGCAAATTCATTGACATAGTTATCCCAGCTTTTATGAAAATTTTTAACATAACTACGGATAATTTTCACTATATTTCTATTGACCCGTTCCGCTATATTTGATTGCGGCCGATACGGGACCATTTTTAAATGACGTATGCCCAGTTTTTGGCACATGTCTTCAAATATATTACTTACAAATTGAGGACCATTATCCGATATAACTTTTAGGGGCGTCCCATATTTTAAAATATACTATTTAGAAACCCGGCCGGGCGGAAATTAATATAATTAACTGCTTGACATGTTGGGCAGGACTGGACATACGCCCTTGTTAACTTTTGCAGTTCAGGAAAATAGACTGCCTCGCGTACGCGTTGGATAGTTTTTCGAATACCAGCATGAGAAGCTAAAGGGCTGTCATGTAACTCCTGCAGGATATTTAATCTAAGACTAGCTGGGATAACAGGTCGAAATTCGTTGTTGGAATTTGTAGTTTTTGTATAAAATAATAGACCATCTATTAGTTCGTAATGGGCCGCCCTATTTCTTATATTTCTTATTGCCACAATATCTTGGTGGCTAAAATTTTCAGGATCCTTTAAATACTCATAAATGTTTCCAAACTCAGGATCCTTACCCAGTTCGGTTATTACAGTTTCTCGGGAATTTATTGTACATGCTGTGAGCATTGCCACCTTTACAGTATTACCTTCTTCATCTATTTTTATTCTGGATAGGGCATCTCCTACGATATTTTCCTTTCCGGGGGTATGCTTGATTACCAGATTACATTCTTGTAGCTTGAGTGCCCATCTTATTAACCTTGGGGATACGTTTTTCCCTGAGTACGATCTAGTTACCGCCGCATGATCAGAATACACTGTTATTGGCGCTCTTTCAAAATAGACTCGGAACTTTTGCACTGCTAACAGAACTGCAAGTGCCTCTCTCTCAGTCGCGGAATAATTTCTTTGTGTTTGATTTAAAGTTCGACTAAAAAATGCCACGGGCTGCTGATTTTGCGAAAGTACCGCTCATACCGCATAATCCGAAGCATCCGCTGAAATTTCTAAATTCTCATCCTTTTCAGGAAATTTCAACACAGGGGCTTGCGTTAATGCTTGTTTTAATTTTTCGAAAGCACTATTGGCTTCGGCCGTCCACGAGAATCTTGCCTTTTTCCTTTTTAATTTTAAGAATGGTTCAGCAATAGTTGCAAAATCTTTTATAAAGAACCTATAATATGAACAAAGTCGTAGAAAAGAAGAGAGCTTCTTCGCCGTGTTTGGCGGCGGATACTTTTGCACAGCGATTATTTTTGATTCGTCTGTCTCGATTCCTTTCTGAGATATTTTGTAACCTAAATATTTTAATTCAGGGGCTGAAAATTTGCACTTTTCGACATTAACTTTTAGACCGGCCTTATTTAATAAAGAAAACACCTGTCTTAAATCCTGTATATGTTGGTCGAGATTATCACTAGTAATAATGATATCGTCTAAATAGATAAATGTGGACTTTCCAAGAACAGGCCTTAACACAATGTCCATACATCGCTGAAATGTTGCCGGTGCCCCTGAAAGGCCAAACGGCATACGCAGGAATGCATAAGTGCCAGACTTGGTTATAAAAGCAGTCTTAGGCACGTCCTCCGGTCTAACTCATATTTGAAAGTAACCAGTCGTTAAGTCTAAAGTCGTCATATATTTGGTAGACGTTATGTTCCTTAGAATTTCTTCAATAATAGGTAACGGATATACCGGATATTTAGTTATGGAGTTTAATTTACGATAGTCAATCGCGAAACGCCACCTTTTTTGATGTGTTAATGGGTAGTCATTGTTTTTCTTACATAAAACCACCGGGCTAGCATAACTACTTGAGATGGGCGTTATGATCTTTTTACGTAGCATATCGCTGATGTGCCATTCTATAATTTTTTCTTTATTCTTATCATACCGGTATGCTCTGTGGCGAACTGGCATTGAATCTCCGGTGTCAATACTATGGTTAGTAACTTGAGTAAATCCTGGAATATCACTAAATAACGAAGCAAATTCACTTACCACTTGTCGGATTCTTTGTGCTCTTCCTTAGGCAGGTGATCAAGGTTTAACATTGGCGGTTCCGATTTTTCTTCTCGA